CTCGTCGCCGAGCTATCTGCACAACTAGGCTACTGTAGACGAACTGCTCTTACACGTGTCAGTATCCGCATCAATATTTTTTAAGACTGGTAAATAACATAAGTACCTTACCTAGATAATAATATTTATTCTTATGATCAATGCTGAAATTTTAGATCATGTTATACAAAATTAGGCCTAAATCCATAAAACCCAAGAAAAAACCCTAATTCTCATTAAAAGCAAACTTGTCGGTTTTCCTCAAACTTAATAAGCTAGCCGGTTGCTCTATATGAGGAGGAGGCATGTTTTCTAAGAGCCACAGAGAGAATTCTCAGTGATGCTCTATACAAAAATTGTATCAGACCAGCCATGAAAAGAGAAGAGTTGTAGAAACAGTCTTCAGCGAGCATCTTCTTGGGAAGATTGCAATCAGATAAGGAAGAATTAAGTGGCGATTAGCACATCTCTGTGAAGAGCTAATTGCAAAAAAGCCATAGTAGTTGAACGATCATCATTGGGGGCGTTTTGAATCATTTTCTCATCAATCCAGAAGGACATAGATAAGGATCTACACCGTTCTAAAGTTCTAACAGACAGCTTTATAGGAGGACTCCCATATCTCGATTGCAAGGTAAAACCCAAAAGTCGCAGACTTGACTTCTCGGCCAAGAAACAATCCAAACTTGATAAATCTGGAAACCCTAATATATATATATATATATATATATGTATATATATATATATATATAGAGAGAGAGAGAGAGAGAGAGATCTCACAAGAAAGGGTTTTTGGTTGCGTAGACTCATCTGCATTGTTACAACCAAGACTCCCCCACAAAAAATATGCTGAGGGATGCATGGATCTCCTTGCCATGAGATTGTACTCAAACCATAAGTCTCTTTGATGTTCTCATAGCATCACTGTTATAACGTTTTCAATGTGTTGGATTTAGCATATATGATGTTTTGTGTATTTCGTAAGTCCTTTTTTATATGAAGGGGTTTTAGTAAAATGAACTTCTTAATGGATCAGATAGAAATATCTCGTATGTAAAAATCACCTCAAGTAAGTTTGTTTTAGTTATTTAACCCCTCCGTTTTCAAAACCCACATTGTAAAGAGGGGGGGTTATCATTAAAAAAACTTACATGAGGAGTTTTACATTATAAACATAGTTGATGATTTTTTTTCTGATCCATCTTTAGTTAAGGGGGTTTTTCACTGAAAACCGTACTATAAATTACTTTAATTATCAATACAAAACGTACCATCATCTTTATTTCTTTGAGAATATTGAAATTCAATAATTGTAAATACTTCAATGGCGTTAAGCAAAGGCGGTTGAGATGAATTATTAATTCTTTTAATCTATAATAATTTCTTAACTTCGCAAACTAATGATATTGCGCTGAAAAAAGTGTCGGCCTCTAGATAATTAGGGTTTAGATAGTCAAAAAAATTTCTCCATTCCACAAAATATTAAACTCTGTAGTCTGGTTGGCCTGTAAAGCTTAGACCTCAGCGAAGTGAAAGTACATATAAATTTTATTATTAAGGAACTCAAGATTCTTGGTAAACCTCAATGGTGCACTAGCATTCACAGGTATTGCGGTGGTTGTGGGCGCACTGTATCAGAAGATAAATATTGGAGTTGTTCACTTTCAGCGTGGTGGAGATTTGCTTCCATTCTGGCTGAAAGTATAGAATCCATTTTTGATCATAGAAATCAATTGATTACCTGCACTGTACACAATTTTGTAGTATTAAACGTGGACAACTAAATAAAGAAAAGAACCTTGATTAAAAATAGGTTACTTTCTGAACTTAATTTTATTGAAATATGAATATCAATTTGAAATAACCTGTCTTTGTCTCAACTGAAAAAAAATACTAAGGGTGAAGCTTAGAAATCACTGAATCGTGTGGTGTTTGGGACGAGACTATACAAAATGCTTTGGTCCAAGACCTGAGGAATATACAGGCCATAGCCTACAACCTCCTAACCATTCTAAAAAAAACTTACTGTAAAACACTTGTTGATTCGCGAAGATATGACCTTAGTATCGACTTGAAACACCCTGATTACTGTTGTAAATATCATTTCTAGAGACCTTAGTACCAAGGCCGATATGGTTGGCATTGATATGCCTATCTTTATTAGACACACATCCAAAGAATTTGACTGTGGGATGTAAATGATATCTTACCATTTGTCTCGATCTACATTGTTCTCCAGATCCATTGTACCCAGAGGTTTGGGCCTATGTACATATCAAATCTAGGAGGACTATTACGAAAGTTTTGATTTCCATAATTACTTGTACTCTGATCAGAAAATTTGTTCCCTGATGCACGCTAAGATTGTAAAAGTTTAGCATTCCATCTAGAAAGCATCTCAATGTTTTCTGTGATTTTTGGTACTTTGACTCTAGATTTTCTTCGATTTTACCAATCTTTCTTGTTTGGATAAAGCTTGAATCTGATGAGAACTGTTATCCAGTTTCTAAATCTACATAAGGAGACTGTTCATTGGAGAATAACCCAAAATCCAAACTGATAATCCCAGTTAAAAAAAGATAAACGATGTTAATTGACAACACCCGATTTTACCATTTTATAGATTGTTTTGATATCTGATACAATTATTATAACCTTTTTTCAAAGTTTTTCAAACAGTTTTTACATTTTATAGTTTAAAGCGTATTTCATGTAATTTGGATTAAAGAGTGCATTTCAAAAGTATGTTTTTGGATAAGCTTGGACGTCAGAAAGTTTTGCAATCAAAGAAGACTGTTTCACTGTTTGGTCATCTCCAATTTTGGACACAAAAAGAGTAGACAACCAGCTTTAAAAATGCAATTTGGTTTGACGACATCCCAACAGTTAGATTTCTAGATATTTATGATGCGCTAAAGACAGATGATATTGCCTTGAAGCACAAACGAGTCATGTAGAGAAGCAGCCTGGGGCATGGCTCAAGCCAGCGCACCCGCAGCCAGAGAACGTACCTGTGGCCAATACAACTTGGCTCAACCTAGCCTGTTTTGATCTCGAGAGTTATATTGACTTCTTTTCACTAAACCCTAAGTGTCTCCAAGGAAATAAAGACTAAAAATACCGGTTTTTAGGTCTTTCTTATGTATCTCGTTCAGGATTTATGTTCTTTGCTTTATTTGATTTGTAGAGGAGTCCTTCTCGCCACTTTGTTCTTCAATAAAAGAAGCTTTTCTTCATCCTTTTTCTTTTACTTTACTGTTATCTTTTAAAACCAATGATGTTAACTCAGTATGTCTAAGTAATTCTGTTATTGGGTATAGAATCATCAAAAGGGTCTTCATGGATTGATTAATATCTATGTTTTTAGATTAGGATATGAAGTTTATCAATGGTTCTTTTGTTTATTCTTCTTATTAATGCATGTTTGCTTGATTGATCTTCTTGCATCCGTTCTTAGGTTGAATTAAAACCACAACAGTCCCGTTTAATTACCAGATTTAGAGTCCAAAAAATAAAATTGTTATAAGAAACGAAAGCTACCTATAGAGTATCGTGAACATAAAAAAATTTGATTTAAGTAAATTAAAATTTTTAATAGACTATAACCATGGGGGTTCCAGATCTAGTATTCCTAATATAAATTAATCTTAGTGAGAGACGAAAACAAAATGTCTTAGTGAAAAGAAAACTTTTAAAATATGTAAATTTAAGACAAACATATGTTTTTCTTATCAAGTATTGTAACAGTGCCCTATTTAAATATTTACAAAAAAACCTTTTGTAATAGCTAACACATATATACAAAGATCTATATATTTTTTCTTTGTTAATTAAGAAGATATCTAAAATATTTCATGGCTGTAATTTGAAGTTATATAGTCGTAAAGATTCAAAACATATTTTTTATAACAAAAGATGCAAAACATATTTTCAAAAAAGAAACCCCAAAAGGTATAATACATGTATCGGTCATATTATATTTTAAATTGCTATACATATTAAAAAAAACAACACACAATATAATCACGTTAATGTATATGATAAAGACACAAAAAAAAGAAGGAGAAGCCATATTCATACATTAAAACGTTAATTTTATCCATATTATATAATCATACATTGAATTTAATTGATAAAAAAATTAAAATTCTACTTTCCGAACATGCCAGATTTTATACCATATCTCTATTTTATTTCAAATTTTCTTTTGTGATAAAATATATGATTTTCTTATATCTCTATTTGTTATTGTATATCATATATACTATTTTGTTATTTTAAATTAATTTTTTCATATATCATGATTTCTAGTAAAATAAAAAATTTCTAAATAAATAGAGGTATACATTATATATGTTAACATTTTTTTTAATGACATATCAATAGATGGTTTGGCAATCAATTTTTGGTATACTTTTTACTAGTGTATAGAAGAAAAAAAATAGTACATGAATTAAAAAAAAAAGAATTTGCTTATTAGAAGATTTATGTGAGATCCACGGTATGATCCAAAACATTATCTGCCTTATAAAAAAGAGTTGACAAGACTTTTTTATATCCACAATTCTTAATTTTGTGGTAGTGATAAAGATATAAAAATATATAATATTACTAAATTTCATTGTACATGAAGAAATCTAAAGAATCACTCTTACTAAATAGAAAACTGAGGCTAAGGTAATAGAATAATTTAGTCTTAGTAAATATATATTTTTTAAACTATAAAAAATTTAGGTACGCCATAAACCTTTTTTTTGTCCAAGTCATAACTCTAATTAAATGCATTAGATACACATACATACATACGGATGTATATAATTTGGTCTAGTCAACTAAAAAAATGATTTACTATAAAGGAATGGCTATAATTCAAAGTAATAATTCCAGCAATGTAATAAGAAATCTAACGAGAAATGGCACATTTTATTCACTATATAAACAATTCTCATCCTCGCAAATTATATAGAACAACACTCAATAAAAAAAGTACATAACAAAAGTTAAAATACCAAACAAAAAAGATGGTTAATCATGAAAGCGGTACGCATAAGACGATCACCAAAGGAAAAGAAAATTTGGAGAATACGTGTGAGGAGAACCTTAAGGAGAAGGATGAGTCTTCTTCTTCTTTACCTTCTCCTGTTGCTGTGGAAGCAGATGTTACACCAATCAGATCTTATGATCCTATGCAAAATCAACGTCTTTATGATTTTTATCTTGTTGATCTTCCAAAAAAAATCGATGCTTTTATTAAGAGCACTCCTCAAATTTTGAATGATAAAGAACCTGTTCATTACAATTATCAGGCTCTTTATGATTATTATGATTCTATCCCACAAAATCTTCATGATTTTAATATGAAGAATAACTTGAATTCAAATCTGAATATGATTTCGGATGCTGATGATCTTGGTATGAATTCGGACACAAATGTGAGTCCAAATGAAAAACAATCCTTCATGGATATGTCAAAGGAGCAGACGGGTGATATTGGAGAACATGTGGACATTCCTTCCATGGATGGCAGCCACCACCAACCATCAACCGCAAGCCTTGTGTCCCCAGTTACTGTCGGTGATGATTGTGCTCCTAACATCACTGATAATCTTTAGTGGAAGGGAATTGTTTTCGTGCGAAGTGTTTGATGAGGTCTTGTGTTTTTTTTTTTTTCAACTCTAATGTTGTAATAATACTTAATGGGTTTCTCCTTTTAAGTCAGTTGGGTTATTTTAAAATTTTCATAATGGAATAATGGCTTTGCGCAAAAAAAAAAAGTTTTATTTGATGGAGTTTAGGTCATTTATAAACAGTAGTTTGTTACAATTTCAAAAATAATCAATGCGAAAAAGAATGAGTTAAGATTCAAATCTAAACGAGACATATTTAATACATTACTTTTATAGAATGAGTTTATTTTTGTTCTTCAACTCTCATCCCACAGAAAGATGATTAAACCAAAAATAAGAAAACCACATGTTTTAAAAGAAAACAGACCGCTAGACTTTAGAACAAAACAGGCTGACCTTATTACAACAAAATTTTTACATCATCTTTAAATACACATAAGATTAGTGAATAAGTTATTAAAATCAACAAAAAACGTCAAATAGAAAAAAAAATTAACATACGACATTTCAGCACAAAAATACACATAAAATCGCTTTAAGAACAACAAATGAGATTTTTGACTTTACAAATAATAATATAGATTTTCTCATGTGAGTAATTGAGATCATCCGTAATATTAAATGGTGCACTAGCATTCCCCAGGTATTGTCGCGGTCTTGATTTCACCTTAGTAGGATATGTTACACCAGTATGGATTCTAAACCCTTTTTCAAAAAAATATTTCGTCCAAAAAAACAACTAACAACAACAACAGAAAGCTAGGTCTACAGATATCCCTCCGTCTATATTTGAATATATATTTTTGATCAGAAAAGCCCATTTACTGTTTCTTTTGTGTAACAAATTTTTTGATAATCCTATTAACTTATGCAGTCCCTATTGGTTCATCATGCTAAAAAGCATCCAAAAAACGTATCAAGTAGCAATTGTTGCATCAGTTTCTTCAGAAGATATAGACTATGAACTGTTGATCCCAGTGAACTTAAATGTATATATGAGATGGTGATGATGATTGAGATGTAAAAAGGGGCGAGATTTCGGTGATTTAAGAGTAATTTGGACTTTACAATAACTTACGTCGAGAAAGCAGTCAGGTCGTGGACCGTTGACTGTGTGTTTATAGAACTGAATTATAAAATGCGAACTGAACCCAAAAGAGAGTCTGCTCAGAACAAATGGTGCTTAGTGTAAAATAACTCAAGCATTAGAGAGAGAGAATACAAGCAGCCAAAGAGTATTAAATTTGGGAATCCCCTTCATTTATTATGCTTGGGGAGTATTTATAGCGGAAGTCGGGAGGCGGATTCCTGTCCAACCGGGGTGATATGGCAGCTTCAGCACATTCCGCGGGTCTGGTATTTCGAGCCGCATGTTCGAACCACTCTGCAACAAATCATGACGAGCTCGTCGCCGAGCTATCTGCGCAACTAGGCTACTGTAGACAAACTGCTCTTACACGTGTCAGTATCCGCATCAATATTTTTTAAGACTGGTAAATAACATAAGTACCTTACCTAGATAATAATATTTATTCTTATTATCATGCTGAAATTTTAGATCATGATATACAAAATTAGGCCTAAATCCATAAAACCCAAGAAAAAACCCTAATTCTCATTAAAAGCAAACTTGTCGGTTTTCCTCAAACTTAATAAGCTAGCCGGTTGCTCTATATGGGGAGGAGGCATGTTTTCTAAGAGCCACAGAGAGAATTCTCAGTGACGCTCTATACAAAAATTGTATCAGACCAGCCATGAAAAGAGAAGAATTGTAGAAACAGTCTTCAGCGAGCATCTTCTTGGGAAGATTGCAATCAGATAAGGAAGAATTAAGTGGCGATTAGCACATCTCTGGGAAGAGCTAATTGCAAAGAAGCCATAGTAGTTGAACGATCATCATTGGGGGCGTTTTGAATCATTTTCTCATCAATCCAGAAGGACATAGATAAGGATCTACACCGTTCTAAAGTTCTAACAGACAGCTTTATAGGACGACTCCCATATCTCGATTGTTAAGGTAAAACCCAAAAGTCACAGACTTGACTTCTCGGCCAAGAAACAATCCAAACTTGATAAATCTGGAAACCCTATTATATATATGTATATATATATATATATATATAGAGAGAGAGAGAGAGAGAGAAAGAGAGAGATCTCACAAGAAAGGGTTTTTGGTTGCGTAGACTCATCTGCATTGTTACAACCAAGACTCCCCCACAAAAAATATGCTGAGGGATGCATGGATCTCCTTGCCATGAGATTGTACTCAAACCATAAGTCTCTTTGATGTTCATAGCATCACTGTTATAACGTTTTCAATGTGTTGGATTTAGCATATATGATGTTTTAAATGGCGGAAATTTGAAAATTCCGGCTTTTTTGACCGTTTTTGAAAATTAATGCGATATTTTTACTAATCTACCTATAATACATCTATTATATTGTTTATTAAACTAATCAAAAGCTTTGATTAAACAAACGCACCTGCCATGCTTGAAGTGCACAAAATAGACCCCGAGCGAGCCGGAATCATAACCTTAGCTGCGTGTTTAATCCCGGAGACGACGGCAAAGACGTTAATCCTCATCACTCTCTCGAACTCCGTCATATCTAGCTCTGATATGCTCGCCGGATTCGTGGGTCCCACGATCCCTGCATTGTTATACATCACGTCTAGCTTCCCATGCCTCGCCACCGTCTTTTCCACGGCACCGGCGATCTCTTCCTCCACCGTGACGTCGCAGCGCACGAACTCCGCCGCTGAGCCTAACTCCCTAAGAAAAAACCCTAATTCTCATTAAAAGCAAACTTGTCGGTTTTCCTCAAACTTAATAAGCTATCCGGTTGCTCTATATGAGGAGGAGGCATGTTTTCTAAGAGCCACAGAGAGAATTCTCAGTGACGCTCTATACAAAAATTGTATCAGACCAGCCATGAAAAGAGAAGAATTGTAGAAACAGTCTTCAGCGAGCATCTTCTTGGGAAGATTGCAATCAGATAAGGAAGAATTAAGTGGCGATTAGCACATCTCTGGGAAGAGCTAATTGCAAAGAAGCCATAGTAGTTGAACGATCATCATTGGGGGCGTTTTGAATCATTTTCTCATCAATCCAGAAGGACATAGATAAGGATCTACACCGTTCTAAAGTTCTAACAGACAGCTTTATAGGACGACTCCCATATCTCGATTACAAGGTAAAACCCAAAAGTCACAGACTTGACTTCTCGGCCAAGAAACAATCCAAACTTGATAAATCTGGAAACCCTATTATATATATGTATATATATATATATATATATAGAGAGAGAGAGAGAGAGATCTCACAAGAAAGGGTTTTTGGTTGTGTAGACTCCTTTGCATTGTTACAACCAAGACTGCCCCACAAAAAATATGCTGAGGGATGCATGGATCTCCTTACCATGAGATTGTACTCAAACCATAAGTCTCTTTGATGTTCTTATAGCATCACTGTTATAACGTTTTCAATGTGTTGGATTTGGCATATATGATGTTTTGTGTATTTCATAAATCCTTTTTTATATGAAGGGCTTTTAGTAAAATGAACTTCTTAATGGATCAGATAGAAATATCTCATATGTAAAAATCACCTCAAGTAAATTTGTTTTAGTTATTTAACCCCTTTGTTTTCAAAACCCACATTGTAAACAGAGGGGTTATCATTAAAAAAACTGACATGAGGGGTTTTACATTATAAACATAGTTGATGATTTTTTTTTTTCTGATCCATCTTTAGTTAAGGGGGTTTTTCACTGAAAACCGTACTATAAATTACTTTAATTATCAATACAAAACATACCATCATCTTTATTTCTTTGAGAATATTGAAATTCAATAATTGTAAATACTTCAATGGCGTTAAGCAAAGGTGGTTGAGATGAATTCTTAATTCTTTTAATCTATAATAATTTCTTAACTTCGCAAACTAATGATATTGCGCTGAAAACAGTGTCGGCCTCTAGATAATTAGGGTTTAGATAGTCATAAAAAATTTCTCCATTCCACGAAATATTAAACTCTGTAGCCTGGTTGGCCTGTAAAGCTTAGACCTCAGCGAAGTGAAAGTACATATAAATTTTATTATTAAGGAACTCAAGATTCTTGGTAAACCTCAATGGTGCACTAGCATTCACATATTGCGGTGGTTGTGAGCGCACTGTATCAGAAGATAAATATTGGAGTTGTTCACTTTCAGCGTGGTGGAGATTTGCTTCCATTCTGGCTGAAAGTATGGAATCCATTTTTGATCATAGAAATCAATTGATTACATGCACTGTACACAATTTTGTAGTATTAAACGTGGACAACCAAATAAAGAAAAGAACCTTGAATAAAATAGGTTACTTTCCGAACTTAATTTTATTGAAATATGAATATCAATTTGAAATAACCTGTCTTTGTCTCAACTGAAAAAAATACTAAGGGTGAAGCTTAGAAATCACTGAATCGTGTGGTGTTCGTGAGACTATACAAAATGCTTTGGTCCAAGACCTGAGGAATATAAAGGCCATAGCCTACAACCTCCTAACCATTCTAAAAAAAACTTACTGTAAAACACTTGTTGATTCGCGAAGATATGACCTAAGTATCGACTTGAAACACCCTGATTACTGTTGTAAATATCATTTCTAGAGACCTTAGTACCAAGGCCGATATGGTTGGCATTGATATGCCTATCTTTATTAGACACACATCCAAAGAATTTGACTGTGGGATGTAAATGATATCTTACCATTTGTCTCGATCTACATTGTTCTCCAGATCCATTGTACCCAGAGGTTTGGGCCTATGTACATATCAAATCTAGGAGAAATATTACGAAAATTTTGATTTCCATAATTACTTGTACTCTGATCAGAACATTTGTTCCCTGATGCATGCTAAGATTGTAAAAGTTTAGCATTCCATCTAGAAAGCATCTCAATGTTGTCTCTGATTTTTGGTACTTTGACTCTAGATTTTCTTCGATTTTACCAATCTTTCTTGTTTGGATAAAGCTTGAATCTGATGAGAACTGTAATCCAGTTTCTAAATCTACATAAGGAGACTGTTCATTGGAGAATAACCCGAAATCAAAACTGATAATCCCAGTTAAAAAAAAAAGATAAACTATGTTAATTGACAACACCCGATTTTACCATTTTATAGATTGTTTTGATATCTTATACAATTATTTTAACCTTTTTCAAAGTTTTTCCAACATTTTTTACATTTTATAGTTTAAAGCGTATTTCAGGTAATTTGGATTAAAGAGTGCATTTCAAAAGTATGTTTTTGGATAAGCTTGGACGTCAGAAAGTTTTGCAATCAAAGAAGACTGTTTCACTGTTTGGTCATCTCCAATTTTGGACACAAAAAGAGTAGACAACCAGCTTTAAAAATGCAATTTGGTTTGACGACATCCCAACAGTTAGATTTCTAGATATTTATGATGCGCTAAAGACAGATGATATTGCCTTGAAGCAAAAACGAGTCATCTAGAGAAGCAGCCTGGGGCATGGCTCAAGCCAGCGCACCCGCAGCCAGAGAACGTACCTGTGGCCAATACAACTTGGCTTAACCTAGCCTGTTTTGATCTCGAGAGTTATATTGACTTCTTTTCACTAAACCCTAAGTGTCTCCAAGGAAATAAAGACTAAAAATACCGGTTTTTAGGTCTTTCTTATGTATCTCGTTCAGGATTTATGTTCTTTGCTTTATTTGATTTGTAGAGGAGTCCTTCTCGCCACTTTGTTCTTCAATAAAAGAAGCTTTTCTTCATCCTTTTTCTTTTACTTTACTGTTATCTTTTAAAACCAATGATGTTAACTCAGTATGTCTAAGTAATTCTGTTATTGGGTATAGAATCATCAAAAGGGTCTTCATGGATTGATTAATATCTATGTTTTTAGATTAGGATATGAAGTTTATCAATGGTTCTTTTGTTTATTCTTCTTATTAATGCATGTTTGCTTGATTGATCTTCTTGCATCCGTTCTTAGGTTGAATTAAAACCACAACAGTCCCGTTTAATTACCAGATTTAATTGATAAAAAAATTAAAATTCTACTTTCCGAACATGCCATATTTTATACCATATATCTCTATTTTATTTCAAATTTTCTTTTGTGATAAAATATATGATTTTCTTATATCTCTATTTGTTATTGTATATCATATATACTATTTTGTTATTTTAAATTAATTTTTTCATATATCATGATTTCAAGTAAAATAAAAAATTTCTAAATAAATAGAGGTATACATTATATATGTTAACATTGTTTTTAATGACATATCAATAGATGGTTTGGCAATCTATTTTTGGTATACTTTTTACTAGTGTATAGAAGAAAAAAAATAGTACATGAATTCAAAAAAAAAAAGAATTTGCTTATTAGAAGATTTATGTGAGATCCACGGTATGATCCAAAACATTATCTGCCTTTATATAACAGAGTTGACAAGACTTTTTTATATCCACAATTCTTAATTTTGTGGTAGTGATAAAGATATAAAAATATATAATATTACTAAATTTCATTGTACATGAAGAAATCTAGAAAATCACTCTTACTAAATAGAAAACTGAGGCTAAGGTAATAGAATAATTTAGTCTTCGTGAATAATTTTTGTTTTTTAACTATAAATTTAGGTAAGCCATAAACTTTTTTTTTTGGTCAAAGTCATAACTCTAATTAAATGCATTAGATACAAATCATACATACGGATGTATATAATTAGGTCTAGTCAACTAAAAAAAATGATTTACTATAAAGGAATGCCTATAATTCAAAGTAATAATTCCAGCAATGTAATAAGAAATCTAACGAGAAATGGCACATTTTATTCACTATATAAACAATTCTCATCCTCGCAAATTATATAGAACAACCACTCAATAAAAAAAAAAGTACATAACAAAGGTTAAAATACCAAACAAAAAGATGGTTAATCATGAAAGCGGTACGCAGAAGACGATCACCAAAAGAAAAGAAATTTTGGAGAATACGTGTGAGGAGAACCTTAAGGAGAAGGATGAGTCTTCTTCTTCTTTACCTCCTCCTGCTGCTGTGGAAGCAGGTGTTACACCAATCAGGTCTTATGATCCTATGCAAAATCAACGTCTTTATGATTTTTATCTTGTTGATCTTCCAAAAAAATCAATGCTTTTATTAAGAGCACTCCTCAAATTTTGAATGATAAAGAACCTGTTCATTACAATTATCAGGTTCTTTATGATTATTATGATTTTATCCCACAAAAACTTCATGATTTTAATATGAAGAATAACTTGAATTGAAATCTGAATATGATTTCGGATGCTGATGATCTTGGTATGAATTCGGACACAAATGTGAGTCCAAATGAAAAACAATCCTTCATGGATATGTCAAAGGAGCAGACGGGTGAAATTGGAGAACATGTGGATATTCCTTCCATGGATGGCAGCCACCACCAACCATCAACCGCAAGCCTTGTGTCCCCAGTTACTGTCGGTGATGATTGTGCTCCTAACATCACTGATAATCTTTAGTGGAAGGGAATTGTTTTCGTGCGAAGTGTTTGATGAGGTCTTGTGTTTTTTTTTTCAAGTCTAATGTTGTAATAATACTTAATGGGTTTCTCCTTTTAAGTCAGTTGGGTTATTTTAAATTTTTCATAATGGAATAATGGCTTTGCGCAAAAAAAAAAGTTTTATTTGATGGAGTTTAGGTCATTTATAAACAGTAGTTTGTTACAATTTTAAAAATAATCAATGCGAAAAAGACATTAATAACACTAGAGAGTAGAAAGTGGTTCCTCAACCTTAAATCTTTCTACCAACAGTCACATATATTCCTTCACGATCATTGCCTCTGATGTTTGTGCTCTTTGTGCTCTGAGTGAGTCCAAAGATATTTTCCAAATGAAGTTTGATAATTTCTGTTTTCTTCTTTATTTCAAAATGTGTTCTTTTATAAATATACATATATATATGTATATATATGTCTTTTTAATTGTTGATTAACCTTTTTATCGTAAAGATTTTAATTATAAATCATTTTCATTATTTTGATTATTAAGTTATTTCTACTGATATTTTTTTATTTGAATATGAAAAATATATGTATATGATTTTAACACTCTTGGAATCAAAGGTAACAAATACTAAAAATTAAATCAAGACTACTGAAAGCCGAATTGCGCAAATCACAAAAAAACATATTCTTATGCATAAAAATTTATTGGTACCTTTCGATATTGTTGACAAAGTTCAACATAAAATCTAGAATGAGAATCAAAATCAGCGACAATTATTCATAGTTATATTGAAGAGCATGTGAGCGTCCCTTTCCCTTTCTTGTTTGATCCATTGCATGTGTGTTCTTTTTCATGAAAATTACCACGTCTTACATGATGCTTGTTAAAAGTTTTGCCATAATTTATTAGGTAGGCTGTTGTGTTATTAACTTATTTTGGCTATCATGACCACTGAGTAAACAGACCGTGCGAGAAATTTGGATCTATTGATATATCATGGTTTTTATGGTTTTTAACCATGGTATAACTCTTATTTATAGAGTCTTTTTAGTGTCTTTCGAGTCTTTTGGAGTCTTTTCAGATCATAGTACGTTTGGAGCTTAACTGGAGACTTTGGAGCACTTTGGAGCTTAATCAGGATCAAATTCGTCAAGAATGGATTTTGTGCTTTAGTGTCGCTCGACACCATGGAGAGTGACGCTCGACACTTGTCAGAGAAATAAGGAAAAGGCGATTTTGTTTCCTATTTGAAGAAGGAGTTGGGCCTAAACGTTTTCAAGGAAGCCCAAGACGTGTTTTAGAGATATATATAGGATTTTTATTCCCTTTTTACGATTACCTTAGATTTTTGAGAGAGAGATACTCTGAGTTTTCGGCTTTGGCGATTTCTGAGCTTGGGGAGACAAGTCTGTACTCTGTTCGTTTAGAGAGAAGATTTCGAACCCCTTTATCTATTTCGATTTAATATATTGCTTTCTATTCATCATGTTTGTTGTTCCAATAACCATGTCTGAGTAGATCACCTGTTAGGGTTAGGGTTTAATTAGGGTTTTCTCTGAATGTTTGATTAACTTGCTAGTTAGGATTCATATCTATTTGTTCTTCACCTTAGGTTGTTCTTAAAGCTAATTCTGGACTGATCACCTAGAACTTAGATCTTAGTTGCTTAATTGACACGGAAGTGTAATTGAATAACTGGAAAGAACCTAGGTTGAGCAAAGTAGCTATTCGCAAAGGAATTTGGTTTAGATGCTTTGTGAACATATCGAACTTGTGCATTAAAGCTGGTTTAAATCTGTAGGATTTGCAAAGGAATTTGGAATTCTAGGATTTTAACTTAGATAATTCTCACAACGGAAGTTGATTTGCAAAGGAATCGCTACTCTCTCTCGCTGTGGATGTGTTCGCCCTACTCGCCCGCGATCTCGCTCACCCACACCCTCTGATGATGCTACTACTAGTGATGAGGACTAGTTCCTTTGTCATTCCGGTTCTGTTTTCTTTTCTTTTGTTTTTCTTATCTTTTCTTTCAGTTTGTTTGAGTCTGTTGTGTCAGCTACACCTGTTGTGAGACTTTGTTGGATTTATGCTTCTATGGGTTGTATTGTTACTACTAACTTCTCTCTGAGTGATCTGACAGTGCTAAAATAGATGATTCTCTATCCTGTTTGGTGGACTCACGTGTCTCTGATCGCGACGATTGCTCTTTGCACTGTGGTGTCGCGCGACACCATCATTGGTATCGCTCGTCACCACCCTTGCAC